GTGTCTCTCTCTCTATCTGTGTGTGTCTCTCTGTCTGTGTGTGTCTCTCTGTCTGTCTGTGTGTGTCTCTCTGTCTGTGTGTGTCTCTCTGTCTGTCTGTGTGTGTCTCTCTGTCTGTCTGTGTGTGTCTCTCTGTCTGTGTGTGTCCCTCTGTCTGTCTGTGTGTGTCCCTCTGTCTGTGTGTGTGTGTCTCTCTGTCTGTCTGTGTGTGTCTCTCTGTCTGTCTGTGTGTGTCTCTCTGTCTGTCTGTGTGTGTCTCTCTGTCGGTCTGTGCGTGTGTGTCTCTCTGTCTGTCTGTGTGTGTCTCTCTGTCTGTGTGTGTGTGTCTCTCTGTCTGTCTGTCTGTGTGTGTATGTCTCTCTGTGTGTGTCTCTCTGTGTGTTTCTCTCTCTCTATCTGTGTGTGTCTCTCTCTCTATCTGTGTGTGTCTCTCTGTCTGTCTGTGTGTGTCTCTCTGTGTGTGTGTTTGTCTCTCTGTCTGTCTGTGTGTGTCTCTCTGTCTGTCTGTCTGTGTGTGTCTCTCTGTCTGTGTGTGTCTCTCTGTCTGTCTGTGTGTGTCCCTCTGTCTGTGTGTGTGTGTCTCTCTGTCTGTCTGTGTGTGTCTCTCTGTCTGTCTGTGTGTGTCTCTCTGTCGGTCTGTGCGTGTGTGTCTCTCTGTCTGTCTGTGTGTGTCTCTCTGTCTGTGTGTGTGTGTCTCTCTGTCTGTCTGTGTGTGTCTCCGTCTGTGTGTGTATGTCTCTCTGTGTGTGTCTCTCTGTGTGTTTCTCTCTCTCTATCTGTGTGTGTCTCTCTCTCTATCTGTGTGTGTCTCTCTGTCTGTGTGTGTCTCTCTGTCTGTCTGTGTGTGTCTCTCTGTCTGTCTGTGTGTGTCTCTCTGTCTGTGTGTGTCCCTCTGTCTGTCTGTGTGTGTCCCTCTGTCTGTGTGTGTGTGTCTCTCTGTCTGTCTGTGTGTGTCTCTCTGTCTGTCTGTGTGTGTCTCTCTGTCTGTCTGTGTGTGTCTCTCTGTCGGTCTGTGCGTGTGTGTCTCTCTGTCTGTCTGTGTGTGTCTCTCTGTCTGTGTGTGTGTGTCTCTCTGTCTGTCTGTGTGTGTCTCCGTCTGTGTGTGTATGTCTCTCTGTGTGTGTCTCTCTGTGTGTTTCTCTCTCTCTATCTGTGTGTGTCTCTCTCTCTATCTGTGTGTGTCTCTCTGTCTGTCTGTGTGTGTCTCTCTGTGTGTGTGTTTGTCTCTCTGTCTGTCTGTGTGTGTCTCTCTGTCTGTCTGTGTGTGTCTCTCTGTCTGTGTGTGTCTCTCTGTCTGTCTGTGTGTGTCCCTCTGTCTGTGTGTGTGTGTCTCTCTGTCTGTCTGTGTGTGTCTCTCTGTCTGTCTGTGTGTGTCTCTCTGTCGGTCTGTGCGTGTGTGTCTCTCTGTCTGTCTGTGTGTGTCTCTCTGTCTGTGTGTGTGTGTCTCTCTGTCTGTCTGTGTGTGTCTCCGTCTGTGTGTGTATGTCTCTCTGTGTGTGTCTCTCTGTGTGTTTCTCTCTCTCTATCTGTGTGTGTCTCTCTCTCTATCTGTGTGTGTCTCTCTGTCTGTCTGTGTGTGTCTCTCTGTCTGTGTGTGTGTGTGTCTCTCTGTCTGTCTGTGTGTGTCTCTCTGTCTGTCTGTGTGTGTCTCTCTGTCTGTGTGTGTCTCTCTGTCTGTCTGTGTGTGTCTCTCTGTCTGTGTGTGTCTCTCTGTGTGTGTGTCTCTCTGTGTGTGTGTCTCTCTGTCTGTCTGTGTGTGTCTCTCTGTCTGTGTGTGTGTGTCTCTCTGTCTGTGTGTGTCTCTCTGTCTGTGTGTGTCTCTCTGTCTGTCTGTGTGTGTGTGTCTCTCTGTCTGTCTGTGTGTGTCTCTCTGTCTGTGTGTGTGTGTCTCTCTGTCTGTCTGTGTGTGTCTCTCTGTCTGTCTGTGTGTGTCTCTCTGTCTGTCTGTGTGTGTCTCTCTGTCTGTGTGTGTCTCTCTGTCTGTCTGTGTGTGTCTCTCTGTGTGTGTGTCTCTCTGTCTGTGTGTGTGTGTGTCTGTCTGTCTGTGTGTGTCTCTCTGTCTGTCTGTGTGTGTCTCTCTGTCTGTCTGTGTGTGTCTCTCTGTCTGTGTGTGTCTCTCTGTCTGTCTGTGTGTGTGTGTCTCTCTGTCTGTGTGTGTGTGTCTCTCTGTCTGTCTGTGTGTGTGTCTCTCTGTCTGTCTGTGTGTGTCTCTCTGTCTGTCTGTGTGTGTCTCTCTGTCTGTCTGTGTGTGTCTCTCTGTCTGTGTGTGTCTCTCTGTCTGTCTGTGTGTGTGTGTCTCTCTGTCTGTCTGTGTGTGTCTCTCTGTCTGTGTGTGTGTGTCTCTCTGTCTGTCTGTGTGTGTCTCTCTGTCTGTCTGTGTGTGTCTCTCTGTCTGTCTGTGTGTGTCTCTCTGTCTGTCTGTGTGTGTCTCTCTGTCTGTGTGTGTCTCTCTGTCTGTCTGTGTGTGTGTGTCTCTCTGTCTGTCTGTGTCTCTCTGTCTGTCTGTGTGTGTCTCTCTGTCTGTCTGTGTGTGTCTCTCTGTCTGTCTGTGTGTGTGTGTGTCTCTCTGTCTGTGTGTGTCTCTCTGTCTGTCTGTGTGTGTCTCTCTGTCTGTCTGTGTGTGTGTGTCTCTCTGTCTGTCTGTGTGTGTCTCTCTGTCTGTGTGTGTCTCTCTGTCTGTCTGTGTCTCTCTGTCTATCTGTGTGTGTGTGTCTCTCTGTCTGTCTGTGTGTGTCTCTCTGTCTGTCTGTGTGTGTGTGTCTCTCTGTCTGTGTGTGTGTGTCTCTCTGTCTGTCTGTGTGTGTCTCTCTGTCTGTCTGTGTGTGTCTCTCTGTCTGTGTGTGTGTGTCTCTCTGTCTGTCTGTGTGTGTCTCTCTGTCTGTGTGTGTCTCTCTGTCTGTCTGTGTGTGTGTGTCTCTCTGTCTATCTGTGTGTGTGTGTCTCTCTGTCTGTCTGTGTGTGTCTCTCTGTCTGTCTGTGTGTGTGTGTCTCTCTGTCTATCTGTGTGTGTGTGTCTCTCTGTCTGTCTGTGTGTGTCTCTCTGTCTGTCTGTGTGTGTCTCTCTGTCTGTGTGTGTGTGTCTCTCTGTCTGTCTGTGTGTGTCTCTCTGTCTGTGTGTGTCTCTCTGTCTGTCTGTGTGTGTGTGTCTCTCTGTCTATCTGTGTGTGTCTCTCTGTCTGTGTGTGTCTCTCTGTCTGTCTATGTGTGTCTCTCTGTCTGTCTGTGTGTGTGTGTCTCTCTGTCTGTCTGTGTGTGTCTCTCTGTCTGTCTGTGTGTGTGTGTGTGTCTCTCTGTCTGTCTGTGTGTGTGTGTCTCTCTGTCTATCTGTGTGTGTGTGTCTCTCTGTCGGTCTGTGCGTGTGTGTCTCTCTGTCTGTCTGTCTGTGTGTGTGTGTCTCTCTGTCTGTCTGTGTGTGTCTCTCTGTCTGTCTGTGTGTGTGTGTATTATCATTCTTTCTTTAGGACACAATCAAATACGGTCTAAAGGTAAAATAAAAAATATACAGGAGGTTGCATAGAATTATTATTTTCGACAAGAATAACTTTATAAAAGGAAAGAGCAGCGTGTGTGAGGTTCGCAGCCCAAATCTGCAGGACACAATCTCAGAGTAAGTGAGTAAAGTTTATTAGTATAGCGCTTTACATGTGTTGGTGCACGTCAGAACTATTGCTTTTTAGAGGTAGTGGAAACTGGAGCACCTGGAGGAAACCTACGCTAACACAGGGAGGCCTGGAGGAGGAATCGAACCTAGGATCTACGTCTATATGTAATGAATGTGTGTATGTATCCCTGTGTGTGTGTGTGTCTGTCTAGGTGTGTGTCTGTGTGTGTGTTTGTGTGTGTGTGTCTATGTTTCTGTCTATCTGTCTGACTGTCTCTCTCTGTGTGTGTGTCTTTCTCTATCTGTGTGTGTGTGTCACGCTCTTTGTCTGTGTTTGTGTGTCTTTTCCGTCTGTGTGTGTCTATCTGTGTGTGTCTCTCTCTGTCTCTGTGTCTCTCTCTATCTTTGTGTGTCTCTCTGTCTGTCTGTGTGTGTCTCTCTCTCTGTCTGTGTGTGTCTCTCTGTCTATTTGTGTGTGTCTCTCTCTCTGTCTATCTGTGTGTGTCTCCGTCTGTGTGTGTATGTCTCTCTGTGTGTGTTTCTCTGTCTGTCTGTGTGTGTCTCTCTGTCTGTGTGTGTCTCTCTGTCTGTCTGTGTGTTTCTCTCTCTCTATCTGTGTGTGTCTCTCTGTCTGTGTGTTTCTCTCTATCTGTGTGTGTCTCTCTGTCTGTGTGTTTCTCTCTATCTGTGTGTGTCTCTCTGTCTGTGTGTTTCTCTCTCTCTATCTGTGTGTGTCTCTCTGTCTGTGTGTCTCTCTGTCTGTCTGTGTGTGTCTCTCTCTCTGTCTGTGTGTGTCTCTCTGTCTGTCTGTGTGTGTCTCTCTGTCTGTCTGTGTGTGTCTCTCTCTCTGTCTGTGTGTGTCTCTCTGTCTGTCTGTGTGTGTCTCTCTCTCTGTCTGTGTGTGTCTCTCTGTCTGTCTGTGTGTGTCTCTCTGTCTGTGTGTGTGAGTCCTAACAAGACCAGCCTCACTTTGTTTAAGCCACGATCAAAACCAAACAGCGAGAAACACAAAACACAACAAATGCAACTTTCTGAAGTGGAATCTGAGCCGTCGGAGGTTTGTGTGTTTCTCTGTTTGTGTGTTTCTCTGAGCCTCTCGCCGCTCTCCACTTAATGAGATTTGGGACGTGATTGAAAACGGAGAAAACAGACGCACTGAAAATAAATGCCCATTGCCATATTAGCCGCCTCCTTATCTCTCAAACCAATATGCATTAGCTGTTTTCCCGCAGTATTATTCCCATTACCGGGCCTTAATTAAAACCACACAAACTGTCTCCTAATGGGCTCTGGGCTTCACAAATCGAAAGCCATTAAACTCAGAGTAAAAAGGCGGAGAAAGCTTTAGTCTTGTACAGTTTGCGGCTCGTGAAGGGGAAGTGGGAGAGTTTGTTTTGACCTTGTTCTCGCCCTCGATGACGACGACCGGGACAGATGTGGCGGGCCAGCGGTGCTTGGCGGGAAGAGGCTTGTCACAGTTCCACAACACGATAATCTGAAAAGGAGAAATTAGATAAGTATGGGTTATTGTGGTGAGGAAATATGAAGTTTGTTTTCTGAAGAATTTGAGTTGAAGGTTTCATTTCAAGATTATGGAAGAGAAGGAAAGACATGTGGAAATATGTTGAGTACGGACTCAAGGACCAGCAGGAGACCAGTCCCTGTGCTCCTCAGAGTCCCAGCAGGAGGCCAGTCCCTGTGCTCCTCAGAGTCCCAGCAGGAGGCCGGTCCCTGTGCTCCTCAGAGTCCCAGCAGGAGGCCAGTCCCTGTGCTCCTCAGAGTCCCAGCAGGAGGCCAGTCCCTGTGCTCCTCAGAGTCCCAGCAGGAGGCCGGTCCCTGTGCTCCTCAGAGTCCCAGCAGGAGGCCAGTCCCATGTGCTCCTCAGAGTCCCAGCAGGAGTCCAGTCCCTGTGCTCCTCAGAGTCCCAGCAGGAGGCCGGTCCCTGTGCTCCTCAGAGTCCCAGCAGGAGGGCAGTCCCTGTGCTCCTCTGAGTCCCAGCAGGAGGGCAGTCCCTGTGCTCCTCTGAGTCCCAGCAGGAGGCCGGTCCCTGTGCTCCTCAGAGTCCCAGCAGGAGGCCGGTCCCTGTGCTCCTCAGAGTCCCAGCAGGAGGCCGGTCCCTGTGCTCCTCAGAGTCCCAGCAGGAGGCCGGTCCCTGTGCTCCTCTGAGTCCCAGCAGGAGGCCAGTCCCTGTGCTCCTCAGAGTCCCAGCAGGAGGCCGGTCCCTGTGCTCCTCAGAGTCCCAGCAGGAGGCCGGTCCCTGTGCTCCTCAGAGTCCCAGCAGGAGGCCGGTCCCTGTGCTCCTCAGAGTCCCAGCAGGAGGCCGGTCCCTGTGCTCCTCTGAGTCCACAGCAGGAGGCCAGTCCCTGTGCTTCTCTGAGTCCCAGCAGGAGGCCAGTCCCTGTGCTCCTCAGAGTCCCAGCAGGAGGCCGGTCCCTGTGCTCCTCAGAGTCCCAGCAGGAGGCCGGTCCCTGTGCTCCTCAGAGTCCCAGCAGGAGGCCGGTCCCTGTGCTCCTCTGAGTCCACAGCAGGAGGCCAGTCCCTGTGCTTCTCTGAGTCCCAGCAGGAGGCCAGTCCCTGTGCTCCTCAGAGTCCCAGCAGGAGGCCGGTCCCTGTGCTCCTCAGAGTCCCAGCAGGAGGCCAGTCCCTGTGCTTCTCTGAGTCCCAGCAGGAGGCCGGTCCCTGTGCTCCTCAGAGTCCACAGCAGGAGGCCAGTCCCTGTGCTTCTCTGAGTTTTTATGGATGGGGGACGCTAATCCTAACCCAGAGGAAACCTACACAGGGAGAACATGCAAACTCCACACAGAACGGCCTGAAGGGGGAGCCACTGAGCCACTGCCCTGTGTATGCATAAGTATAATCCAAACACAATGCAAATACACACATTTGTACCTTTATTCCTCTGCGGCGGGGCCATAGTGGGTGTTTGTTAAAACTCTGGTAAAGTCAGTGTCTGGGTTTTACTTAAAACTTAAAACTCCGTCATTGGCTCCTGTGATTCCCTCGTTCACCTGTTTTGCTTCTGACACTGTGACATTTCTGTGCTTCGCTGCTGGAAATGTCACCTCATAATTCTCTGATTGAACTACAAAGACCACAGCAGGCCACAGCGGCGGCAACACAACCACAAAAACACACACTGCTACACTTCATGAGTGGACTGCGACTGCGGGACCACCACATCTCACTGAAGCACAGTCGAGGCGTAGAAAGTACTAAAATATGAGGAACTAAATTAGGGCTGGGCGATAAAAACGGTAAAACATTTGCCAAAGATAGAGATTTGTTATTTCGGCATGTTGCGATCACCGACATCCACGAGGAGAGTGTCTGCTGGACTCATCCCAGAAACCGGATTGGTCCAGAAATATAAATGTAAATAAACATGTAAACAGTTTGTGTTGTTATTTACAGATTACGTTATTGATTTGTGCTCATTTGTATCAAGGTTTATTACGAGAAATGGCAGAAAAAAGCTCAGAGAAAAAAATACTTCTGATTCATGGTTTGGATTCAATTACAACTGGGCCAAATATCAAGAATATCGTTAAATACAAAAACACAATCTTTGGCCTTAACTTAAAGCTGCACTAACTCACTTTGTGGCATTGTGAGCGTTGGCCTCGCTCTCTCTCGCCCTCCCCACACTCAGGAACCCCCCCACTGCCCCCCTCCCCACTGCCCCCCTCCCCACACTCAGGAACCCCCCACTGCCCCCCTCCCCACACTCAGGAACCCCCCCACTGCCCCCCTCCCCACACTCAGGAACCCCCCCACGGTTTACAATTGTTAATTATGGGCATTTGTCTCTCACTCCACACAGAGATGGGAGCGCGGTCGCCATCACAGGAGGCGCATGCTAGAACTATTGTACATATTTTTAGTGGTAGGGGAAACCGGAGTACCCGGAGGAAACCTACGCAGACACGGGGAGAACATGCAAACTCCACTCAGAAAGGCCCTGGTCCGACCGGGATTCGAACCCAGGACCTTCTTGCTGAGAGGCGAGAGTGCTATCCACTCAGCCACCGTGCCGCTGCCTAGAGCCCTGCACGGGCCTATTATCTGGGCCCGAGCCCGGCCCTGGCCCGAGGGGGTGGCGCCCCAGCCCGGCCCGGCCCGATATGGTTTCTGAATTTTCAGGCCCGAAACCCGCATCAAGCCCGCCTTTTTTTTTTTTTTGTAACCTCCCATAACAATGTTTTAGCGTAGTATATAGTGCCGCGCACTGATATGAACGCAGACTTAGCTAGAGGGCGGAGTTATACATGGTAGTGATGTGTTGCAATGAGTTCTGTGTGTGCGGAGTGGTGCAGAGTGAACGGCCGCATCTGTATGATGCCCCCGATGCTGCAACACATCTGCACATTACATAAGTAATGCTATGTGCCGTCAATGACAACACTACACAGAACAACAAACACTACAGCGTGATAGAACGCTATATTCAGTGGGTGCGCTCGTAAATGTATTCTGCCGCTCTGAAAATGAAGAGCCCGAGCCCGGCCCGTGTCCGAGGTCATTATGCGGTCATCGGCCCGAAGCCCGGCCCTCGGGCTGTCGGGCCGTCGGGGCCCTCGGGCCAAGGGCTCAAGTGCAGGGCTCTACCGCTGCCCCCCTCCCCCTCAGCTGCACATGTGATTGTTGTTTACGGAGCTCACGTCTCACAACATGGACACACATGTGAACGTGGCGTGACCGTAGAACGACAGAACCATGAAGCGAGGAGGAACGAGACTTTCTTTTGTCTGTTTCTCTGAGTAAGCAGAAACCGGTGACGAAGACACGGAAGTTTCAGGTTAGCCTCCGCCGCTGTCTGTGCCAACCACAGACCTGTCTGTGCCAACCACAGACCTGTCTGTGCCAACCACAGACCTGTCTGTGCCAACCACAGACCTGTCTGTGCCAACCACAGACCTGTCTGTGCCAACCACAGACCTGTCTGTGCCAACCACAGACCTGTCTGTGCCAACCACAGACCTGTGGATTTTCTCAAGAAAGTGGGGGCCAGTGGTCCGCTGTGATTGGTCACTATCTGGACCCGAAACACATTCTCTTCTTTGTTTCATCAAAACTCGAACTAAAATAAGTAGTGCACAAATCTGCGCTACTTATTCTTCAAAAGGACGTAAATCCCAGAGCACTGCAGGACATGGGTTGGATTAGAAATGAAAACAAAAATAAAGTCAGTGCAGCTTTAACTTCTAATTACATATTTATCAATCAATCAATCAATCTTTATTTATAGGGCGCTTTTCCTGCACAGGGCAACACAAAGCGCCTCACAGTCCACACCACACAATGCACAAATCATCACCATTAAAATACAATTAAAAACACATATGTAATTAAAAAGCATTAAAATCACACAAGTAATTTAAAAACATAAGAATCACACAAGTAATTAAAAACAATAAAATAGTTAAAAACACAAAAAGTTACAACAATAAATAACAAGGTGTGTTAAAAAGAGATAAAATCCTTCAGTTGTATGCACAGGCAAACAGAACAGTCTTTAACCTGGATTTGAACATTGACAGAGTAGACGCCTCCCTCACATTTTCAGGGAGATTGTTCCAGATCTTAGCTGCATAGATCTGAAACGCAGCCTCCCCATGTTTAGTTCTCACTCTGGGCACCAGCAGGAGGCCAGTCCCTGTGCTCCTCAGAGTCCGGGCTGGTTCATATGGGACTAACATGTCACTAATGTATTTTGGTGCAAGGCCATGGAGAGACTTGTACACAAGCAGAGCTGTTTTAAAATCTATTCTCTGAGCCACAGGAAGCCAGTGCAGAGACCTGAGGACCGGACTAATATGGTCATACTTCCTGGTTCCTGTCAGGAACCAGGAAGTATAAACAATTTAGAAATATAACATTTTATGATTGTTTTCGAGACCTGCGGTGACTTCCTGTATCCGGTGAGCGTGTTTCTTGACTGCTATCACTCTGCTCTCTGTTTGCACTAACAAACACATTACAAATCCACGTATTGTACACCAAGCTAACTGTGTAAGCACTCCGAGTCAGCTGTACTGTAGCTGAGGTTTAGGTAGCGGTTGTTTGTCTGGTCTCGGAGTCTGTTGTGCGGGCCCGGATCCGTACTAGCTTAGCCTAGCCTAGCTTAGCCTAGCCTAGCCGCTAACTCGCTACTATGGCGGCTGCTGTCTCTCCCTCAATCCTTTACTGCTCGAGTTGCCATATGGCGAGTCTAAACCCTGGATCCTTCTCTGAGGGTAGTGATAGATGTGTGAAGTGTAGTGTAGTCGTAGCTCTGGAATCCAGGGTCAGTGAGTTAGAGCTGCGTCTCCGAGCACTGGAGTCTCGAGCTAGCGCTAGCATTAGCTACAGCCAGGCCGTATCCTCAGGGACAGCGGAGCGCAGCTTTAGGGAAAGGCAGAGGAGAACTAGCGAGCCTAGCCTCCCAGCCCGTCCTCCGCAGCTGGGACAAGACCAGGATAGTGATGGCTTTGTGACTGTTCGGAGAGGGCCACGTGT